TAAAAGGAAATTGGGGAAGACTAATCAGCATGGCTAGGAGGATATTTTTTATAAGGAACATTGGGGAAAACTAACCAGCATGGCTAGGAGGATATTTTTTAAAAAGAAAAATGGGGAAGACTAACCAGCATGGCTAGGAGGATATTTTTTTTAGAAGGAAAATTGGGGAAGACTAACCAGCATGGCTAGGAGGATATTTTTTAGAAGGAAAATTGGGGAAGACTAACCAGCATGGTTAGGAGGATATTTTTTAGAAGGAAAAATGGGAAAGACTAACCAGCATGGCTAGGAGGATATTTTTTAGAAGGAAAATTGGGGAAGACTAACCAGCATGGCTAGGAGGATATTTTTTAGAAGGAAAATTGGGGAAAACTAACCAGTATGGCTAGGAGAATATTGTTAAAAAACAAAGTTGGGAAGACTAACCAGCATGGCTCGGAGGGTACTTTTTAGAAGGAAAATTGGCACAGCTAGTAGCCTAGCATGAATACTAAAGGAAGTTTACGTTAGGCCGTACAAACGCAGCGTGGAAATTTCAAGGATTGTAAGGAACGGATCATTAAAACATACACCGGAAAGTGAAGTAGTTTATAGGTTAGTATAAGTAGTAAGGAATGCCGGCATGTAAAAGCTCTTACCAGTCTGTTTTGGTAAATTTGACAAGAAACCAGAAATTTGTCTAAAAAGCGAGACTCATCAGGTACAGTTCGCTAGACCTTGGGTAGGTTTCGTCTCGAGACTGTACGACCTACCCCGTAAGAACTTTTACGTGTTGATGTTATATCATAATTTAAATTTCAAGGAAGGGGGTATTTAATTGGGTTGTAAGAGTATAATTTTCATTAGAGATCAACTCACCTAAAACGATAAGACGTCCGCTCATTAAAGCCGAGGATATGGTGTTAAGAGGTCACGTTCAAAGGTACAAGTACATGTAGTAAAGGAATTGCGTTTCAACGTCAGAAGAATACGTGTTGTTCTTATGGTAGCTGGGAGCAAAGTGTGACGTGACGCCGGCGCGACGCACGGTTTTTTGAAAACGTATAAGATACACGCGTATCATACGCGCGCGTAATAATGAATCGTTGTGCGTATCAATGAAATGAGTGGCACAATATCAGTGCGGGGTCGACGTAAGTAAAAAACGCAGCTCAGAGATTGTTATAGGTTAAATACAATTTTTTTAGTTAAGCATCTCGTTCATAAAATTTATTTGATAATTTAATAATTTTTAAAATCTTATTTACGTGTAAGAAATAAGATGTTCACAAAATAAGATAACGTTCGTGAAAAGAAAGAAGAAAGAGTTAAATAAGAATGGAAAATGCAGGGAGAAGAGAAAAAGGATTACAGGGAACGGCCCCGCAGACTCTCGAGAATTACGTAAGAACGCCAGTGCAAATCTGTCGACTTGTCTTTCAATTGTTTTCGTATTGCTACAAACATAAGGTCTATAGCTGTCCCTAGGCGTACCTCACGATACGTCAGACGATCAGACGATGCTCGTGGAGAAAGGGGGTTTAAACCGTTCGGAAAGTGCCTTTAAATGAGCTTGACGACCAGTTATAAAGATCCAATCATTGCCAAGCTCGGCACGAGGGGATACAAATGTTTACAGACACAAAGATGGCAACAAGTAAAACGACAGAACGAACGAAAATCTTTTTTGCCTGGAATTGAATTCTTTATTTTAGTTGAAGGTATTATATGATTATCAGAGCTATAAGTATAACTTCCATTAGAAGGATTTTTTTATTTTTTTTTTATTTTTTTATATTATTATTTTGTTTTAATTTTTTAAAAGGAAATTGGGGAAGACTAATCAGCATGGCTAGGAGGATATTTTTTATAAGGAACATTGGGGAAAACTAACCAGCATGGCTAGGAGGATATTTTTTTAAAAGAAAAATGGGGAAGACTAACCAGCATGGCTAGGAGGATATTTTTTTTTGGAGGAAAATTGGGGAAGACTAACCAGCATGGCTAGGAGGATATTTTTTAGAAGGAAAATTGGGGAAGACTAACCAGCATGGTTAGGAGGATATTGTTTAGAAGGAAAAATGGGAAAGACTAACCAGCATGGCTAGGAGGATATTTTTTAGAAGGAAAATTGGGGAAGACTAACCAGCATGGCTAGGAGGATATTTTTTTAGAAGGAAAATTGGGGAAAACTAACCAGTATGGCTAGGAGAATATTGTTAAAAAACAAAGTTGGGAAGACTAACCAGCATGGCTCGGAGGGTACTTTTTAGAAGGAAAATTGGCACAGCTAGTAGCCTAGCATGAATACTAAAGGAAGTTTACGTTAGGCCGTACAAACGCAGCGTGGAAATTTCAAGGATTGTAAGGAACGGATCATTAAAACATACACCGGAAAGTGAAGTAGTTTATAGGTTAGTATAAGTAGTAAGGAATGCCGGCATGTAAAAGCTCTTACCAGTCTGTTTTGGTAAATTTGACAAGAAACCAGAAATTTGTCTAAAAAGCGAGACTCATCAGGTACAGTTCGCTAGACCTTGGGTAGGTTTCGTCTCGAGACTGTACGACCTACCCCGTAAGAACTTTTACGTGTTGATGTTATATCATAATTTAAATTTCAAGGAAGGGGGTATTTAATTGGGTTGTAAGAGTATAATTTTCATTAGAGATCAACTCACCTAAAACGATAAGACGTCCGCTCATTAAAGCCGAGGATATGGTGTTAAGAGGTCACGTTCAAAGGTACAAGTACATGTAGTAAAGGAATTGCGTTTCAACGTCAGAAGAATACGTGTTGTTCTTATGGTAGCTGGGAGCAAAGTGTGACGTGACGCCGGCGCGACGCACGGTTTTTTGAAAACGTATAAGATACACGCGTATCATACGCGCGCGTAATAATGAATCGTTGTGCGTATCAATGAAATGAGTGGCACAATATCAGTGCGGGGTCGACGTAAGTAAAAAACGCAGCTCAGAGATTGTTATAGGTTAAATACAAATTTTTTAGTTAAGCATCTCGTTCATAAAATTTATTTGATAATTTAATAATTTTTAAAATCTTATTTACGTGTAAGAAATAAGATGTTCACAAAATAAGATAACGTTCGTGAAAAGAAAGAAGAAAGAGTTAAATAAGAATGGAAAATGCAGGGAGAAGAGAAAAAGGATTACAGGGAACGGCCCCGCAGACTCTCGAGAATTACGTAAGAACGCCAGTGCAAATCTGTCGACTTGTCTTTCAATTGTTTTCGTATTGCTACAAACATAAGGTCTATAGCTGTCCCTAGGCGTACCTCACGATACGTCAGACGATCAGACGATGCTCGTGGAGAAAGGGGGTTTAAACCGTTCGGAAAGTGCCTTTAAATGAGCTTGACGACCAGTTATAAAGATCCAATCATTGCCAAGCTCGGCACGAGGGGATACAAATGTTTACAGACACAAAGATGGCAACAAGTAAAACGACAGAACGAACGAAAATCTTTTTTGCCTGGAATTGAATTCTTTATTTTAGTTGAAGGTATTATATGATTATCAGAGCTATAACTATAACTTCCATTAGAAGGATTTTTTTTTTTTTTTTTTTTTTTTTTATATTATTATTTTGTTTTAATTTTTTAAAAGGAAATTGGGGAAGACTAATCAGCATGGCTAGGAGGATATTTTTTATAAGGAACATTGGGGAAAACTAACCAGCATGGCTAGGAGGATATTTTTTAAAAAGAAAAATGGGGAAGACTAACCAGCATGGCTAGGAGGATATTTTTTTTAGAAGGAAAATTGGGGAAGACTAACCAGCATGGCTAGGAGGATATTTTTTAGAAGGAAAATTGGGGAAGACTAACCAGCATGGTTAGGAGGATATTGTTTAGAAGGAAAAATGGGAAAGACTAACCAGCATGGCTAGGAGGATATTTTTTAGAAGGAAAATTGGGGAAGACTAACCAGCATGGCTAGGAGGATATTTTTTTAGAAGGAAAATTGGGGAAAACTAACCAGTATGGCTAGGAGAATATTGTTAAAAAACAAAGTTGGGAAGACTAACCAGCATGGCTCGGAGGGTACTTTTTAGAAGGAAAATTGGCACAGCTAGTAGCCTAGCATGAATACTAAAGGAAGTTTACGTTAGGCCGTACAAACGCAGCGTGGAAATTTCAAGGATTGTAAGGAACGGATCATTAAAACATACACCGGAAAGTGAAGTAGTTTATAGGTTAGTATAAGTAGTAAGGAATGCCGGCATGTAAAAGCTCTTACCAGTCTGTTTTGGTAAATTTGACAAGAAACCAGAAATTTGTCTAAAAAGCGAGACTCATCAGGTACAGTTCGCTAGACCTTGGGTAGGTTTCGTCTCGAGACTGTACGACCTACCCCGTAAGAACTTTTACGTGTTGATGTTATATCATAAATTAAATTTCAAGGAAGGGGGTATTTAATTGGGTTGTAAGAGTATAATTTTCATTAGAGATCAACTCACCTAAAACGATAAGACGTCCGCTCATTAAAGCCGAGGATATGGTGTTAAGAGGTCACGTTCAAAGGTACAAGCTAGTACATGTAGTAAAGGAATTGCGTTTCAACGTCAGAAGAATACGTGTTGTTCTTATGGTAGCTGGGAGCAAAGTGTGACGTGACGCCGGCGCGACGCACGGTTTTTTGAAAACGTATAAGATACACGCGTATCATACGCGCGCGTAATAATGAATCGTTGTGCGTATCAATGAAATGAGTGGCACAATATCAGTGCGGGGTCGACGTAAGTAAAAAACGCAGCTCAGAGATTGTTATAGGTTAAATACAAATTTTTTAGTTAAGCATCTCGTTCATAAAATTTATTTGATAATTTAATAATTTTTAAAATCTTATTTACGTGTAAGAAATAAGTATGTGTGGTTTTGAAAAGAGTCAGAGGGTACTCAACATTTCAGACAGTATGCTCTGCCTGTCTTCAGGAGACTGAGGGATTCCAACGGTGATTGAACTATTGGTAATGTTGTCATACAGATTTCTAAAGATTCATTTTGTTTAAAAGAGACTCTGTTTTATTATGCAGTTGTACCATTCCAGTCTTCAAGCAGTGCGTATGATGTACGGAGAAGCCGGGGTGTTGACGTTCTTCAAGGGTCTACTACCGACCATGCTGCAGGTTTTCCCACACGCTGGCTTCCAGTTTGGATTCTATGCACTCTTCAAAAGAGTCTGGGAGGTTGTCATGGACCAGCCCGAGAAAACCTCTGGCATCCATGTACCAAGTGAGTGCTTTTCACTTTTGATGCCAGAGGGCGCTCTTTTTGCTAATCACTTTATTCAGATTTCGTAAATTTGAGGGTTATTTGGCATTAGAATTGAGTAAAAAAACTAGTCATCTACACTCTGCGTCTGGTTTAATTACCCCCAAAAAGACCCTTTTTGTGTGTGTACGTGTTCTTCATAACCCCCCGAGGACATAGACACACAAAGGGAGAAGAACAGATCCTTTCAGTCCTCGGGAGTTGGGTCTTTTGTTCAAAATGGTTCTCTGTAGTAGGTTTGTGTGCTTAGTCTATGGGAGAGTGTTATATTATAGGGACAAAGGGAAACACAAAGCATTGTCCTCGGGTGTATAGTAAACCAAGAGAAAAACAAGAAAATTGTATCCTATCGGTAATTAATCGTTCACAACTTGTTCTATACAGCGGCCTTGAAGTCCTTCACCTGCGGTGCCTTATCTGGCCTCTGTGCCAAAACAGCAGTCTACCCTCTAGACCTCGTCAAAAAACGCCTCCAAGTCCAGGGCTTCGAAGAGGCTCGGAAATCCTTTGGCAAAGTGCAGCGGTACAACAGCATGCTGCACTGTGTGGCGTGCACCGTGAAGGAAGAAGGCATAAGGGGCATGTACAAAGGACTCTGGCCGAGTACACTCAAAGCCATCGGAACTGTGGGCTTCACGTTTTGCTTTTACGAGAAGGCGTGCCACTTTCTAGAAAGACGATACTTGTAATTTCACTCTGATGTACAGTCTCTGCAGTGCCTGGTGCAATGTAGTTTTATCCTGAGGGATTCCTAGAGATTTTTTTTTTCTAATTGATTAATACATGCATGCATCGAAAGGAAACCAAATGAAGCGTCTTTTTTTTTGATAAACAGAAATACAGCTAATTGAGAAAGGTGATATTTTGTTATTTTAAGTTTGTAAATGTCAGAGCATCTGAAGATGCAGAAAACTTGAAATGCTACACAAGTACAGCTACTTCGTGTCGTCAGGAACAGTTGTCTCTCAAAAGCATTCATCTTAAGTTCATCACAAGTCCTCGCAAGTCAGTCACAAGTCAAATCACAAGTTTTTCAAACTGCGACAATGGCATGCCTATTGTTCATCCCTTTTTACTTGTGCCTGACCTTCTCGGTTGTTACCGAACTTGTAGTGGAATCTATACAAGTACCCATGGAATAAACTTATATTGAGAACAATTTTGTGTAAGTATCCATATTTATGGATTGTATTAAAACAGTCGGACGCAACACTTTGGTTTCATTAGGTGTATTTGTACCTGCTTCATATAATGTCTCTGTTACTTGTGACTAGACTTGTGATTTACTTTTGATCGGACTTGTGATGGACTTGTGAGAGCCCCATAGGTGTGGCTCAAATACTGGACTTTCTCCATGTTGGGAGCAACACAGTGGTGATAGAAAACGTGAGGAAAAATTGTTTTTGAGGAAATCGAGATCGGGACTGTTTTTTTCAGTTGATATTCACTACGGAAGATACATACCTGGGCCCAATTTCACGGCGCTGCTAAGCACAAACATTTGCTTAGCACAAAAAAGTCTGACTTATAAAAGCAGGTTACCTGCCAAAACTCCATGTGATTTTCATGCTAAGCAAACAACAGCTGAATACTAATCACGAGCAATGTACATCACATGGAGTTTTGGCTGGTAACCTGCCTTTATAAGCCAGACTTTTTTTGTGCTAAGCAAGTTTTTGTGCTTAGCAGCGCAGTGAAATTTGCCCCTGGTTAATTACCAGGAAAAATTGAATTCCGTTCCTGTACACGTCTAGTTAGCCTGTAATTTTCTGGTGAAATTTGCAGAAAGTCTGATTGCAGTCACTGATCTCTATATAAAGACTGGATAGCAGATATGCATACAACATTCACACAGTAGACTTTGCATATTGACCAATTCGCCCCCGGTCTCACGAAGATGGCCGCGTATAATACGAACGTTCTACGCGTAAATACGCGCGCGTTGTATCAACAGTTGACGCGCATTTTGGTCACGTACACATATTATGATGTTCTAAAAGGGACACATTTCCGTAGTGATTATTACTTCAAAACGCCGAAAAAGTTATATTTGCGGCATTTTAGTAACCACGACGTTAGAAAAATTGTAGTTAACCTTGGTCAGTGATGGTGGTCAAAATATAAGTCAAGTAACCGCGACGTTACAAAAGAAATCATGCTGTCTATAAAAACGACAACTTGTTCTTTGTAGATCACCAGCCGGTCTCACCAATATGGCGTCAAATTCGTACATTGTGCGGCTCTTTATTAGCTATCCAGTCTTTATATAGAGATCAGTGATTGCAGTATTTTTCTGGCAATCGTGGGTCATGTACTTTTGACCTTTTGATTTTCCTTGGTTTTAAAGTATCTCCCACAGTGAATATTAAGTGAAAGAAAAAACAACTATTCTTCACGTTGCTATCACCACTGTGTGGCTCACAATACGGAGAATGTCCGGTATTGAGCCACATTTAGGGGCTATACCTGTGATGGGGCCATCTCTTTGTCGTCCTTGCAGTGGGCACTTGTGCAATGTTCTTATATTAGAAAGATGGCAGTAGACGTTTTGGCTTGATGTGTAATGGGCTTGATCACCGACTCACTATGATTGTTGCTTTTTCTTCCCAAGAAGCACGTCATTTTATTACGAGACACCGACTGTCGGGGTTTGTTTACATTAAAAATAAAGACTGAACATTTTGGTAGCTTATGACGTGTGGCCATTGAACAATCCGAAGAAAGGATGTTTGAACTATTTTTTTTATAGAAACTGACAAGGATTTTGATGAAGGTAACCAGTTGATGGTTGCAATGACTTCCAATGAGCACGCTCACTACCAAAGCGAAGACATATTTCCATCCCTTTTTCGTTTAAATATTCTGAAATGAGACCATCTAAAGTGTATGGGAAGACTTTGTTTAAATTGTTAATGTAAACATTGTGCTAAAATGATGTAAAAAAACCCCTCAAAGTTTCAAAACACGCCAAATTATTACCACGTTAGAAGCACAGTGGTATTAGTGGGCTGTGACATTTTATGAGTTTTCTTTTTGCAATTATTTATTTCTTCATGAGGACATCTCAACCACAATGAGATTTACACAAGACTTGTCCCTGACAAAACTTAACTTTCATTTTCATATTTGAAATAAAAAAAGACTAGGCTTACCTAGTCGAGTTGAACCTGAATATCTCGGTACTCGTTGACTCAGTCAGTTCGTGACTCAGTTTGTAAGTGACTCAGTCTGTCAAAAGGACAGTAAGCTGACCCTTACGGTCCATCAAAAAGGCATGTACAGGTACATGTAAATTGGTTTTGACTTCCATTTCGGTTGTTACAAAATAATATTGGAAGCTGAGAGCATTGTTCCTTTTTTTTTTTGTTTTCTTTATGGGCTCTGTACACAATTACCCACTCGACGGTAAGAAAGGGATAGTTGGGGAACACCACTTGGGAGAGACATTCGAACGCATTGCCGAAGACGCGTAACGCTCACGCAAAGACGCTATGGGTTTTGGTGCACATTCAGAATAAAACTAGTCGTGCCTGGTTCGAGCTGTATGCGCACCGCAACCAGTACGCGCATGAAGTGTGTCCCGTCCAAGGGGCTCTCGAAAGTGGTGAAAAAGCGCCCTCTCTAGTGAGCGCACGGAGCCCATACAAAATCAGGCATGCAACTTTTCCTCGGATCCGCTGATTTCCTCGTTTTTTTACTTCACATGAATGCCATTACAAATTGAAAAACACTTTACAATGTCTTCTGTAGTTTGGAATTTCCTCATTTTTTTTCTAAATTCCCAGTTGTAAGCCTGAAAAATAGGGAATGCAAAGTTCTTGTTGAGTTAGGAAAGCTATACGACAAACTGTTCTTAGTGGGTCAGCGTGCTTGCCTGCTCACTAAAAGCCTATCCTGTTTGTGCGCGGAGCCCATACAAAAATAGGGAATGCAAAGTTCTCGTTCAGTTTGGAATGCTACACAACAAACTGTTCTTTGTGGGTCAGCGTGCTGCCCTGCTCACTAAAAGCCTATCCTGTTTGTCCGCGGAGCCCATACAAAAATAGGGAATGCAAAGTTCTCGTTCAGTTTGGAATGCTACACGACAAACTGTTCTTTGTGGGTCAGCGTGCTGCCCTGCTCACTAAAAGCCTATCCTGTTTGTGCGCGGAGCCCATACAAAAATAGGGAATGCAAAGTTCTCGTTCAGTTTGGAATGCTACACAACAAACTGTTCTTTGTGGGTCAGCGTGCTGCCCTGCTCACTAAAAGCCTATCCTGTTTGTCCGCGGAGCCCATACAAAAATAGGGAATGCAAAGTTCTCGTTCAGTTTGGAATGCTACACGACAAACTGTTCTTTGTGGGTCAGCGTGCTGCCCTGCTCACTAAAAGCCTATCCTGTTTGTGCGCGGAGCCCATACAAAAATAGGGAATGCAAAGTTCTTGTTCAGTTTGGAATGCTACACGACAAACTGTTCTTTGTGGGTCAGCATGCTGCCCTGCTCACTAAAAGCCTATCCTATTTGTGCGCGGAGCCCATACAAAAATAGGGAATGCAAAGTTCTCGTTCAGTTTGGAATGCTACACGACAAACTGTTCTTTGTGGGTCAGCGTGCTGCCCTGCTCACTAAATGCCTATCCTGTTTGTGCGCGGAGCCCATACAAAAATAGGGAATGCAAAGTTCTCGTTCAGTTTGGAATGCTACACAGCAAACTGTTCTTAGTGGGTCAGCGTGCTGCCCTGCTTACTAAAAGCATATCCTGATGTTCAAAACACCAAGTTCTGAGATCGTTTCTGAAATACTACACAAGATGTTTCCCATGAAATATTGTAAAACATTCTTTATTCGTACTATACATGATACAAGTACATCTGGAGTCAGTACAAATTTACACATCAATAAAGAGGAAATAAGAGGAAATCAGTTCAACAGACGTTTATATGTTAATAATGGCTGGTGGTTTTGGCTTAAAGCTTGAGTAGACCATTTGCAATTTGTGTATTTATTTCGTTTGAACCAACAAAAGTGCTCAAAATCTTAAGACGAATGCTTAAAGGTATAGTCCACATTTGTAATTTGTGCATTTTGTTCGTTTGAAGCAACAAACATGCTAAAAATCTAAAGACGGGTGCTGAACAACTAACCTGATGAAGTTTCAGCTCAGCTTCAGCTGTTTATTTCTAGAAAAACAACATTCTATGATCCAGATTTCAAATCAAAAGTTGCTGAATCATGTTTTGAATTGGGCCTGAATTCAGCATCCGAGACACGTGCTCACTGAGCCGACTGCAGCTACGCGATGTCGCGCACTGATCCGATGAATTAAAGCAATCGCGCGTGCGTGTGCGTCGTGTCAACGCTTGCGCGCGCTTCGCCGAATAAAAAAAACGAACTACTAACGGAACCTTCCAACAGTGCGTCTTTAAACACACCGTTGGAAAGGCATTCTTTCATTGATTTCTTCAAATTGACAGCATGCCAGAAAGAATAATTTTACAGGGAGTTTAGTCCCCTTACTATCTTTCAACCAAGTATGTTTTTCAACACTAATTACGTCAGTTACTTTTTGGATAGCTGCAAATGATGGACTGAGCTTTAACGACTATCTCCGAGTTCTGAGAAAATATTCTAGGATCTCAAATTGCGCCCGAAATCAGCATCCGAAACACGTTCTCATTCAGCCGATTGCAGCCACACGATGTCACGCACTGAACAGACGAATAATAGCAACCGTACATGTGTGTGCTTCGTGTCAACGCTTCTAGCACCCATCCAAGGATTTGCACAACTACTACCGGAAATTTCCAAAAATGTGTCACTTGAAACATTTTTGGAAATGACCTTCTGTTATTGTTTTCTTCAGTTTGGAATCATTTTGCAGGGACTTTAGTGTCATTATTATCTTTAAAAGCAACTAAGCTTTTTAACAATAATTTGGTCAGTTACTTTTTGGATAGCTGCAAATGGTCCATTCTACCTTTAATGACTTAATTCCAGATTACTGAGTTCCAAAACAAGTGTTCTTAATAAACATTAAATCTTGCTCTTCGAATAGAGTTACGACAAGTTTACGAAAAAATAATTCTTTTTGGACACAAACATGAAGTAATGGTCAGAATATTACACCAGCACAAAAAATAATACTATTCAAACATGTACATAGTATATAAATATCTGATGGCGAGTATGAAGAATACTTATGTCTACGTAGAGATACCCTGTATGTGC